GGGGGTTTTCTGTGTACAGCTGTAGTGTGGGCTTCTTGAACATCACATTTATTTTACATATAAACATTATAGATATGTAAATATTGGTGGTACTTTTTTCTCTAAATCTTTTGTAGCTTTCATTGATTTAATAGATGCCAGTTACAAGAGTTAAAACAAGATGGCTAAGTAGCTTACTTTAGTTGACTGTTCTCTCTCAATTCTTTCTTTGAAAAATAAAACTAAACCTAATCAAAATGTCAGTCTTCACCAATGGATTAACACATATGAGGAAGAGAGGATGAATCAAATAATAAAATGTACAAGAAGCAGGAATTCATTGTTTTGAGTACTCCTTTTCCCCCCAACATTTTGTTTGAATTTCCTCAGACTTCCTAAATATTTTAGCCTAGTGTAAGTTTTACTGTAAAATTGCAGGTAGGTTAATATACTTCTGGCAAAATTGTGTGATGGAACAGGGTTGTGATGAGACTTGCTTAGTCCTCTAGAGAGTAAATAGATAATGTAGATATAATGAAAATGGTCTTGGAAAATTTCTAAAGTGTTCTAACTATTCCAAATCTTCTTCTCTTTCTTGATAACTGCTGGTTGTCTTGGTTACTTGCAACTTTATGTTTTGGGATGTCTGAGTTTCTTTAAAAATGTTATACTGGAGTTCTAAATTAGTGAATTAAAGATACCTTAACTAAGTGGTATCTTAACTAAAATAAATTGCAGAACTTAGGGTTTAACCCCTTGATGTTAAATCTATGATGAGGTTTTGGTGCTAATTGTGGCCTTGGGGAACTTCCAAATGAAAATATTTGCACATACAAAAAACAGTGTTAGGGTTTTAAAGTCTAGCAATCAATCCCAGCTTGGCTGTGTGGAGCAAGAGACCCAGCCCTAACCCTGGCTGCACTGGCAGCCCTGGCAGCCCCAGCCTCAAATCCTGGGCAAGGGACAGGAGGCACCTGCCCTGCAGCGTGAAGAGGCAGCTCTGGCGGGGAGAGGGTGGGAACAGGCCTCCCTCTCCAGCTGGTTCACGGTTAACTGGTCAACCATTTAGTTTAACTGGTTAACTGTGTCAACCATTATTTTACATCCCTAATGTCACATGAGCAAAACTTGAAATTTTTCCTTAACCTTATTAAGGATGTAAGCGACTAGTCAACTATCCAATAAACATAAACTTATCAGATAGTTGAGTCGACTAGTAGCTTCCCACCCCTTGCTCCTCTATCATAGGCAACAAGGTCGGGGGCAGGAGACGGTGCTGGGGGGAGCTGGCTTATGAGCTGCCGGGGGCAGGGGAGGCAGAGGCACAGTAGTGAAATGGGGTGCATGGGGACTGAAGCGGTCCCCATGTGCCCCAATTCCCACTGTAGCGCTTCACCTTTTGAAATGTAGCAAGAGCCCCACGGGTGCGCTGCTTCTGCCTCGCGTGAGCCTGCTGACTTCCAGCCCATGACCTCACGTGGGCTGGCAGCCAGCAGCCCCATAGGACTGCATCCAGGTACTGGTTAATTGGTTACACATTCACATCGGTGTTTATAACTATAGGGTGTGTTGCCAGCTTTTCTATTACATTAATAACTAGGGGCCTATCCCCCCTGCTTGCTGCGCTCCCTGGGGGTAGGCAAGCCTGGCTTACCTCCTGGATGCCAGGGAGGGCCAGGGCTGCCCCACTGGGGCACACCAATCCTGGCCTCTCAGCTCACCTCCCTCCTCCAGCCAGCCCCAGCCTCCCCACCCCATCTCTGGTCACAACCCTCACCTCTTGCCCCTCCTCCCCACCTCCTCCTCCATAGCCGCAGCTATCCCCGTCCTCTCCTCATCCCCCATCCCCGCCAGTCTCTCAGGGGCTCCTATCTGGCTCCCGGAGGAGGGCCAGGCCCAAGCCAAGAAGTAGCGACAGTGGCTCCTTGTTGTGCTCAGGGCCTCGAAGCTCTGGAACCCAGCAGGGAACCACTGCTTCCGGCTGCCTCGGGCCAGGCGCACAAGCCTCATGCCTTCTCCCCCTCTTTCCCCCAAGAGTAGCGTGCCAGCTTCCTGTGGGGAGAGGAGGAAACTCTGAGACTCCGCACCAAACTTGCAGGGAAGTATGCATGCTGCTCCTCCCTTCCCCCACAGCCTTGGGGTTTCCTCCTCTCTCCCCTGCCCTGTAGGAAACCAGTGCTGGCATGCTAATCTTGGGGGAGGAGAGTGGAGGCAAGGCTGGAGTGCCAGGCAAGCCATGGCCTGAGTGCTTGGCCCTAGGCAGCTGGAAGCAGCGGTTCCCCACTGGGTCCCAGAGCGTCGGAACCCCCAAACACAGAGAGGAGCTGCTACAGCCACCCCCTAACCCTCCTGCAGCGGAACCAGGGGAGTGAGAAGGAGAAGAAGAGGGAGAGGGAGGGAGATAGAGATAGATATATGAATATTTACCCAGCAGTGTTCGGTTCCTTACCTCAATTTTTGTTTTCTGGAAAATAAAACGAAAATGTACATGCCTCACTTAAATCGTTGCTCTAGTATGGAGCTGAGGATGAGGGGTTCAATATGCAAGCTGCCCCCGGTTCTCTATCCCAGTTCTCTCTCCTCGCAGTAGCTTGGCCCAGGTGAGAGAAACCTCTTTGACAGCTGCAGCTCTAGTGAGTGGGCAAAACTGAGGGAGTGGGGGTATGTTCCCCGGTTCATTGCCCCCCTGCACCTCCCAGCCAGTGTGAAGAATGCAGCAAACTAAATTTCTCTTAGCTCTCTGTTGAAGGGGAACAACCAGCAATGGTCTGTATGAATCAGGAAGCCCCTGCCTTCCCTAAAGAGCATCTGGTAGGTGGGACGCTCAGAGTGGGGGCAGTCCCAGACAAAGGGGGCGTGTTCCCCTAGCCAGCCCCTTTCATCTGCCTGGTGAGTCTGCCTCTTTCTCTGTGGTTTTATAAGAAGCAATCCAATTTGCACAGCCCATTTAGTCCTGGCACAACAAATCCTTACCTTGTGGCCGCCTCCTACAGTATAGCTGTCCCTCCGATCAGCCCCTTCTCTTTCCATGTGATGGAAAACAACTGAAAACCTAAAAATGACATCATAGAGGTTGCCTTCTGTGTAGGCAATGATAAGTCTATGATTACATTAGCGCTTTTTTCCCCTCATTCAGTCCAGCCTGTCCTGGAGAGAAGCAGGGTTATGTAGAGAAAACAACTGTCAGTATTTTACCCACTTGATTCATTGTGGAAGCTGGAAGGTATCTAGTGAATAATGCAGGAGATTGCAGGAAAAGAGAGGGTGCTTAATGCAGTTGCATGCTGGTTTGGAGAACTGTATTCTATCCCTGCCATTGCCTCAAAGTTCCTAGCTAATGCTGGACTAGTCACATAAATCAGACTTTTCACAAGTGGTCACTAATTGTACTCCTCATTTTCTGAGTTTGTAAAATAAGACCTTGTGGTTGAATTTGCAGGTGGGCTGGGTACTCTCACCTGCAACTGAAGTCTGTGGGAGATGTGCTTTGAACATACAAAATGCTATATAATTCTAAGTTCTCTGAAAGATCTGATCTTTGCCTCTCAAATTGGAGACCCCAAAACAGTGGCTACTTTTACCTTAATATCTCTGCCTCAGCTCCCCATGTGCAAAATGGGTAATGCCCTCTCACCTCATTGGATTTTGTAAAAATAAATTCATTATAATGATGAGCTCCATAGGAAGAACCCACAAGGAAATTAATCATTATGTCTTCAGGTAAAGGTTTGAATAGTGTGCCGTAAATAAGACATGGGGCCACAGGTAAAACATTAAGAAAACAAAATATTGATTAGTTTTCATGTTTGTTTTGCACTGAATAGGGTGGACTGCTGTGGAGAAAGTAATTTGAAGACTATCATAATGAGTACACACATAGAGTACTTTTTCACCAGTACAAGCTGCATTTGCACTAGGAATGCTTTGTCAGTATAGCTATTCTAGCCTATTGCACTAGTAAAATGCTTCTAGTTCAGATCCAGCTTATCCTGGTAAGATTGTTTTTTGCAATGTCTCTTATTCCAGGCTCCCACTTCCCCTGCCTCCCCACCCCAAATGAAATAAGTTTATACCAGCAGAACTGTTTTGCTAGTTTAAGGCTTCTATCGGCACAGCTATGTTGGTTAGGGGTGCAGTGAGATGTGATCATTGACTGACACATCTGTGCTAACACTAGTTGCCAGCATTATGTCTTCTCCCCTTTTCTTACTCAACCCACATATTGTATCCCTACCCAAATCCTACATAATGCAGGGGTGGAGAAACTATGGCCCAGGGGCTGGGGCTGGTCCCCGGCTTGCCTGGCTCTGACTTACAAGGCTTAGTACTCCCCCCTAGCATCAGGAGCTCACACAGTACTCCTCCCATCCAGAGCCTGCCTCCACTTCTGTACCCTCCTTCCTGTCCACTTCCTAGCAGCCTCCTCCCACACACTGAACCCCTCATTTTTGGCCCCACCCTAGAGTATAGGGGGGGCCCATAAAATTTACTATCCTGTGTGCCTCTAGGCTCTGGCGTATGAGGAGAATGTGGGGAGTGTCTTTCTGTTTCTAACTTGAGGGTGTTTCTTCTCATTTTTGTGCACCCCCTAACTGATTTTTCTGTGGGTCAGCAGCCCCCGACCCAAAAAAAGTTCCTCATCTCTGGCGTAAAGGAAGGACTACCCTGAAGTGTCTTTGGATTAACCATTTAGCACTTGACATGTAGGCAGAGCAGCACCCAAATAAGTGACTGTTCCATGAGATCACAAAGAAGTTGGCTTGGAACTTGTATAGGTATAAATTATATGTAAGCAAGCATGGCAGCTGTTTTCTCTTGCAGTACTTAAGACTTCTTGGGCACTGTAATTTGTTTACACGAATGGGGCGGGAATACTGAACATATGGAATGATGATTTGCTTTCCTTCAAAGATTTTGAAGAAATCTTGGTGTATTTTTTTCTCTCAGCAATTTTTTCAGTTGATATACACTGTTATTGTGTTCCAGATTCATATTATGTTAATTTCTTCTTTTTTTTCCAGGATGCCAGAAAAGCATGTAGTGATACAACTCTTGCTCAGGTATATCATTATTTTTTGTATTGGGTAGTAGCCCTTAAAAGGCAATAGATTTCTTGATTGATTATAGCATGCCTACTGTGGTGGCTGAAAGAGACAAAGGTCAGAAATCCTGGAAGTACATTGCTCACTGCATTATTTACAATTTTGAAATTTGAAGCAATAATTACGAAGGAGGAGGAGAGGGCTAAGTCCTTTACAGACACTATATACAGCCAATCTAAAAGCTCTAAAGCCATGAAACATACTTCAGTGATAGGTACTTCAAAAATACTGTGGAAAGGTTACTTATATATTAATATAAATATACATATTTTCCTTAATTCACCTTTTTAAACATTTAATGAAACTATATGGCATGATAATGTGGGCTTTGAGAGTTGCTCCCACATCACTGTGTGTAAGGCATCTATTTTATTTGGAAACTGAACTTTTTCATTTAAAATCCAGGTCTGGGCTTTTATGTAGCTTTTGTCAGACTTTTGAAAACAGACACTAGAATTAATACTAAATAATCATTTTATTCTGGATCTATTTTCAGGGTGTGATTTGTAAATTTCTATAAACCTTTAATGTACAAATAAAGTTCACGCCTGATGCATATAGAAGCTCCATCTAGAGAAGCCTGATGTAATCTGAAACATTTAGAGTAGTGACTATCATTAAGTTCACTGTCACAGATATCCTGATTTTCTTGCCAAATTTTTTGACTGTCTGTAATATCACATCATTGTGCACTGATTCTGTGGAAACAATAGGATCAAATTCTAGTGGTGCAAAATATTTGTGTTCCTGTCAGTTTGGGTGTTGTACATGTTTATGACCATCTCTGAAATCAGAATAATTGTTTGGTTTGTGTTTTTTTCCTGCTCAGATCACCACAAGTCTGGACTCAGTGGGTCGAATCCAAATGCGAACAAGACGTACACTGAGAGGTCACTTAGCTAAAATTTATGCTATGCACTGGGGATCTGATTCAAGGTTTGTAAAAATGATTCTTAAACTTGGAGGCAGAGGGACCTCTTTTCTAGCTCTTGAAATAATTGGAGGCTTAATAGAGAGCTAAGCTGGGTGAGGTAATCTTTTGTTGTGCCATCTTCTGTTGGTTAAAGAGACAAGCTTTTGAACTGACACAGAGCTCTTCTTTAGAGTTCTTGTCTTCATATGCAATGTTACAATGGTGCAGTTGCATCACTGTAGCACTTCCATGAAGATGCTGTTATTCCAATTGGAGAGCTTTCCCATCGGCATATTTAATCTACCTTTGGGAGAAGTGGTACGCATGTCCATGAGAAAAGCTCTTCGGTTGACATCACTGTCTATGCCAGGAATTAAGTCAGCAGTTTTACCAGTATAAATGTGTAGACCTGGCCAAAGTGTAACAGCTAAATTCAAAGTGGAACAGATTAAGTATAAGGAATTATCACGTTTATGGATGTTAAAATGTACGTATTTAATTAATCGAGTAGTCGATAGAATTTTTACCTACTCCATTAGTCGATAGGTAGTCTGGCTAGTTCTTGGCTCATGCCGGGTATGAGACCAAACCCTGCTGTGGCTCTGCAATTTAAAAGGCAGTAGGAACCAGGCAGCCTGCCCCCTGGTTCCTACTGCGTTTTAAATTGCAGAGCTGCAGCAGAGTTTTGTCCTGCACCCCAAGTGAGCCAGAACTGACCTGGGCTGCATGCCCAGCCA